TTCTGATTTTGATGCTTTTTTTTCTTCTTTAAAGATTTCTTTATTTATTTTAGAGGGAGAGAGCATGTGCGCACGCACACACACACACACACACACCCCTGAGGGGGGAGAGGGAGAGAAATCCTCAGGCATACTCCCCACGGATAGAGGAGTTGTTGCAGGGCTCAATCCCAGGACCCTGAGATCACGACCTGAGGTAAAATCAAGGGTTTGATACTTAACCGACTGAGCCACCTAGGTGTGCTGCAGTTTCTTATGTTTTAAAAAGAAGATTTTGGGGAGCTCCTGGGTGGCTCAGTGGGTTAAGCCTCTGCCTTCGGCTCAGGTCATGATCTCAGGGTCCTGGGATGGAGCCCCCCATCAGGCTCTTTGCTCAGCAGGGAGCCTGCTTCCTCCTCTCTCTATGCCTGCCTCTCTGCCTACTTGTGATCTCTGTCAAATAAATAAATAAAATCTTTAAAAAAATAAAATAAAATAAAATAAAAAGAAGATTTGGGGGGATGCCTGGGTGGCTCAGGCAGTTAAGCATCTGCCTTTGGCTTGGGTCATGATTCTAGGATCCTGGGATCAAGCCCCGCATTGGGTTCCCTGCTTGGTGCGGGGGGCGGGGGGGAGTCTGCTTCTACGTCTCCCACTCCCCCTGCTTGTATTCCCTGTCTTGCGTGCTCTCTCTCTCTGTCAAATGATCTTTTTTAAAAATCATTTATTTATTTATTTTGCCTATTGCTCAGGTTAGGCCTTCCAGTATTATGTTGAGTAAAAGTGGTAAGAGTGGGTATTGTCCTGTTCCTGATCTTAGAGGAAAAGCTTTAAGCTTTTCATCATTGAGCGTACAGTGTTAGCTGTGGGCTTGTCTTAAATGGCCTTTATTATGTTGAAGTATATTCTTTCTATACTCAGTTTGTTTAGTTTTTATCATGAAAGGATGCTGAATTTTGTTAAATGCTTTTGTGATTATGTGATTTTTATCCTTCATTTTGTTGATGTGGTATGTTGGATGATCCTTGCATGCGAAGTGGTTTTTATATCCCTTTGGGGAGGGTAATCAACAAGTTTTTCAAATGGGTACAACTGCTATTAGCATGTAAAAGAAGCAGGGTAGGGGTGCCTGGATGGCCTCAGTCCTTTGGGTGTCTGACTTTTTTTGATTTCAGCTCAAGGGCTCACACTGGGCTTGGAGCCTGCTTAAGATTTTCTCTTTCCCTCTCCTCTCCTCCCCTTCCCCCTGGCATGTGTGCTCATTCTCTCTCTCTTTCTCAAAACAAAATTAAAATACTCTATCATATACTAAATTCCCATACTAGAAAGAAAAGAAATAAGCAGGGTAGAAAAATTAGGCTTAAAAAATGTTGAAAATAGTGGCTACTGTATCAGACACAACATGTATAGAACACTATCATTTCAGAAATTTTTTTTTAAAGATTTTATTTATTTATTTATTTGTCAGAGAGCGATAGAGAGAGAGAGAGAACGAGAGAGAGCGAGCGCATGCGCTCACAAGCAGGCAGGGTGGCAGGCAGAGGCAGAGAGAGTAGCAGGATTCTTGCAGGTCAAGGAGATGGATGTGTGGGACTTGATCCCAGGATTCTGGGATCATGACCCAAGCCAAAGGCAGCGGCTTAACCGACTGAGCCACCCAGGCATCCCCAGAAAGTCCTTTTGGATAGCACCGTTCAGTGTTATTTTATATAATAAGGGATTCGATCTTATTATAGTAAAATTATTAAGAATCAGTGTTTGCTAATTATGCACCATTTCAGAAGACCTGAACTCTTGGAGAGATTGTGTGATACAGTTGAGTGAATAGTACACTATGCTCTCCTTTCTAAGGAACGCTAACCTAATTAACAATGAACACTAACCAGTTGAGTTTCAGGATACTGAGTTTCTATTGTGGTTCTGCTTTGTGTTACATGAATTTGGAAACCTTAGAAACATAGAAAGTTCTCTTCCTAAAGAGATACTGTCATCTCTTGAAAACACTGGGACGCCTGGGTGGCAAAGTCGGTTGAGTGTCTGCCTTCAGCTCGGGTCATGATCCCAGCATCCTGGGATCAAGTCTCATATCAAGCTCCCTGCTCAGTGGGGAGCCTGATCCTCCCTCTGCCTATTGCTCGCTCTTCTTGTGTGATCTCTTTCTCTCTTTCACAAATAAAATCTTAAAAAAAAAAAAGCTTAAAAAAAACCCATTAATAACAGACAAACAGCTAATACATATTCACTGCAGATTCTGTAGTATAGAAATAATTAGAAAAAACCCTTTTTTAGAAAGAAGAAAAATCTTATCTTTAAAAGAAGGACTTGCAGGACGCCTGGATGGCTCTGTTGGTTAAGCAATTGACTCTTGGTTTTGGCTCAGGTCATGATCTGGGGTTGTGAGATTGAGCCCCAAGTTGGGCTCTGTGCTCAGTGCAGAGTCTACTACTTGTCCCTCTCCCTCTGTCTCTCCCTACTCTTGCTCATGCCCTCCGTCTGTGTCAAATAAATAAAATCTTAAAAAAAAAAAAAGAGGACTTGTTGTCTACCATCCATTTCAGTTCTTCTACTAAAACTTCATGATGTAATTCATTATATAGTCTCAGAGATGCACTTTCTTACCCTCCTAACTTTGTATAGCTGAAGTTAGGTCATTAGTAAAAATGACCTAAATTTGGATTTTGTGATTATATTTAATTTTGGGTTCCCAAAACATGTTATGAACATTAAATACATTATTGACATTTATTAGTAAATATGTACTTTGTGAAAGAATGCATGTTTGCTAGGACATGAAGTTAAAAAGTTAAGGAACTTTTAAAGAGAAACAGAGAGAAATTGGAGAGGAATGGAGGGTATGGTATGTTTTTTAAGTCTTTGCTGTTAATGCTTATCCAGATTCTCTCCAGTAAAAAATAATTTAATAGGCCAAAGGTGTTAATTATGTTGGGATTTTACCTGATATATTTGTCTCTCTTTTCTTAGGTGAAACTTAGTGGCCATAAATCTCTCAGTTAAATATAATTTATGTGTCTGTATGAATTTGGTGACCAGAATCTTGTTAGTGTAGGAAAGTTAATTTAACAAAAGTTCTGTGCTATTACCTCTGATGAAATGACACTCTCTTTGCTCTCCTCCTGCTCTACCTTTCTGCTGCTCTAGAAGCATGGTCAGACTTGTTTTGAGGTCTAAGGGTCTGAAGGGAGAAAAAATAAAAAATGTGGCTGAGTATTTCTTATTATGACATTTTTGGTTCTTATACTAAAGTTGTCTATTTAACAAAACACTTCCTTGCATTTCCACAAATACTTGTAAGCTCATTGGTAATTTTAATGAATATTTAATGATAAGCAAGTGTTAGATTTGAATGTTTAAACAGTGTTTCCATTAATCTAAAATAACGTTACATAAATACTATGTATAAAGTACCTCAGTGCTGAAGATTAATTAGCCCTTAGTACATTTTGAAATCTTTTTGAAAAAATGAGGGCAAAGTTCAGTTTGTATTTGAGTTTATCTTAAACCTAAATATCATTTCGTTTTCATACTAGAATTGTAGAATGTTTCTCAGTATTTTCTTCCATGCTCTGTTAATGTCAAATACAAACAAGATTTCCAGTCCTTCCTTTTCTCTCTGCCCATTTTAATTATGGGTTTTTAGGAGTTTTGTTGCCTTTATTTACCCTCTCCATGTAACTTCTACAAAATGTCAGCAGGCGCTATCTCCTCCACAGTGTATTAATTTGTGTATCGTGTTGATCTACCTACTTTCCAGTCAGAAGGTCTGGGTTTAAGACGGCAAAGAACCAAATCAGGCAAAGTTCTAGAAGGAAACGAACTAACTGAGATGGTGTAAGAGACTTCAGTGAAGGACTGCAGAGGTAGGGGTGGATTAAGGGAACCCACAAGGGATGTTTTTTATAAGTTACAGCAGGAAGCATCAAGGGACAGGGAAAATACAGTGTTATTAGAGCCTGGGGAGAGCTGGGGAGAAAGGGGTGCCTGACAGGAGCCATGATGGTTGGGTGACAAAACTTCTGTCAGAAAATGTGACCAAAGGAGGGAGAGTGCTGGGAAAAAATAACCCAGCATTTTTCTACCTTCTGACCTACCAGTGACAGGTAGCACTGAAACCCAGAAGATGTGTCTGTTAAGATTAGCCTTCTTGGGCACAGAGTTGGGCAGAAGAGTATTGGAGGAAGAGGGTAGTGGTAGTAAGATAATTACCAGTACATTTACTGATAAGTATGGGATTGATTTTAGGTTACATGGTATTTTAGATTAAATTTCTAATCTGTAAACTGTAGATACTTCACTGGGGTTAATGTGAGCAATTAAAATGAGACGTGGCAGACATGTGAAAGTGCTATCATAGTGCCTTTGTCTGGTGAGTATTTGTTTGTAGTTTTGATAAGCTATTGATTTGAAAGCTTCAGCTTCCTTTCGTGGGATGCTGTGCTGCATTTGTTTTACAGGAATTTTGTTTGCCACTGTACTTCTAAATACATGATAGGTTTTGTGTTTTCCAATAATTTTGGGGAAGTAATTACACAATCAGTATTAAATAGTTTCCAAAATTTAGAGACTGTATTTACTCTCTCATGATAGGCATTTATCTTTTTCACTCTTGCTTTGGACAGAGCACTGCTGACTTCTGAACTTGTGGGCAAGGATGCTTTTCACGTGTAGAGATGGTCTCCCTGTTGAATGATTGGTCAGACTTGACCCTGCTGCTGCCACCATTGCTGTATCCTTGTTGTATACATCTGTTTTCCAAGACAGCTTGGATGTCTTGTCACACTTTTTCTCCTAACCTTACAGTATTTCTTGTCACTTTCTACTTTCATCCAGTCTCACCTTTGAGCATTCATAGGCTAGACCAAGATCAATATAATCAAAATATATTATGATTTTGAAATTAAATAAATTTCTGTTTGATTTCACAGGCTTCAGTTCGCAGTTTTTATAAATTTAGAACTCACCTCTTCTGAATTACTGACTATATCTTCATTATTTTCCACCAGACGTTCTGCCAAATCCCGAAGCAGAAGCCCATATTCATCTAGGCATTCAAGATCTCGTAGCAGGCACAGATTGTCTAGATCCAGAAGTCGTCATTCTAGCATTTCTCCTAGCACACTAACTCTGAAGAGTAGCCTGGCAGCCGAGTTGAACAAGAATAAAAAAGCCCGGGCTGCAGAGGCAGCGAGGGCTGCAGAGGCGGCGAAGGCTGCTGAGGCCGCTGCCAAAGCTGCCAAAGCTTCTAACACTTCTACACCTACGAAGGGGAGCGCGGAGACCGGGGCCGGCGCGTCACAAACCAACCACGTGAAGGATGTGAAGAAACTGAAAACTGAACATGCACCTTCTCCCTCAAGCGGTGGAACTTTAAAAAATGACAAGGCAAAAACAAAGCCACCTCTTCAGGTAACAAAGGTGGACAATAACTTGGTTGTAGATAAAGCCACCAAGAAAGCAGTTGTAGTTGGGAAGGAGAGTAAATCTGCTGCTACAAAGGACGAACCAGTATCTCTTAAAGAGAAAACCAAACCACTTACACCAAGCTTAGGAGCCAAGGAGAAGGAGCACCATGTGGCTTTAGTGACCTCTACATTACCACCGTTACCTTTGCCTCCCATGCTGCCTGAAGATAAGGACACTGACAGGTAAGTGCCAGAGAGTGTTGTCACCAGCACTTGAAAGAAAAGTTTGAAGTGAGAAGCTGTCTGACTCCCCAGATAGAAAGGTTATATAAAAAAGTCATAAGTTGTCTTTATTATAAATGAAGCACATTGCTTGTAGGGTGACAGAATTATAGTTTAAGAATTCCAGGAAGAATTTGCTGTTGCCTTGGGATACAACGTATATTTCAGCTTGGGAATTGGAAATGCGCATAGTGTGTTTTTTTAGCTTAGTGTTCCTTAATGACATTGTCAGAAACGTGACAGTTTATGAGACTCTACCCTGGGTGGTATGAAGCAGGTGTATTGGTTATTTCTAGGTTTCTTCAGCGTCTTACAAATTTATCACTCTGGGTAGCATTATGAGTTTATAGTTTTTTAGACTTTCCTTGAACCTTTCGATTTTTTGGCGGTTGGAGATTAGTTATATGTTGCAGGAAACCCATAATGTGTTTGTTTTCCTTTAACGTGTTTACAAATTTCTATGTGAATATTGGGGGTGTGAGGTTTTTTTAAATTTTGAAACATTTTTATTTTTTAGAAGATGAAGATATGAGTGAGTTGAGTGTAAGGTAAATGCAGTTCTAAGAATATCTCTGAAATGTATGCTAGGATAGAAGCATTATACTGCTGTGTAATATCTGTCTGTTATGCCACTTAACATTTTTCATTTTCATTTTTATTTTTATGGAGAAATTAAAGCTGTTCTCCCCTCATTTTCTGTTAAAAAACAGCTATGTGAGCAGTTCTCCTAGCTGACATCTTTATAGAATTTGAAAAGTGGATGAAAATGTTGTGTGGGTAGGTCTTTCAAGTGCTCATTTTGGCTGGCATTACGAAAATTTTATAATTTAAAACAAAAAAGAAATCATAATTCCTGTGTTTTATGCCCTCTGTGATGTCTTTTTTCTATAATCAAAAATGTTGCCAAGAGATCTCGTCCAATATCATCAGGTATTCACCAATTATATCACTCTAATTATGGTATTTACAGGTTCGACTGTTCTCTAGGAACACTGAAGGTTCATAACAGAGTAGTGATTTATAATTTGGATGAGTCCGGGAATGGGCTCTCCATCACAGGGAGGCATGAACACAGAACTGAGTCACTTCATTAGTGAGCGAATAACCCAGTTGTGAAGAATCCAGTAATTCTGAGGGCGCCTGGGTGGCTCAGTCAAACATCTGACTCTGGCTCAGGTCCTGATCTTGGGGTCCTGGGATTGAGCCCGAATCAGGCACCCCACCTGGTGGGAGTCTGCTTGTCCCTTCCTGCCAGCACCCCACCCCCTGCCATTTGTGCTCTATCTTAAATAAACAAATAAAATCTTAAGGAAAAAAAAGAATCCAGTAATTCTGGGCCAGTGAGACTCGTTTTCTACTTTATTCTTCATATATGCTTTGGAAGTAAATTTTTACTGGTGGTTTCTTCAAGAACTCAACATATATGCAAGTGAGTGCTTAAGGAGGGTATTCTTTGTGCATCTGTTTTTAATGGGGTGATGGTAGATGTCATGCTTATTAAAAATTTTTTTAAAAAGATTTTACTTATTTGACAGAGAGAGACAGCGAGAGAGGGAACACAAGCAGGGGGAGTGGGAGAGGGAGAAGCAGGGGGAGTGGGAGAGGGAGAAGCAGGCTTCCTCCCTAGCAGGGAACCCGATACGGGGCTTGATCCCAGGACCGTGGGATCATGGCCTGAGCCGAGGCAGATGCTTAACGAATGAGCCGCTGAGGCGCCCCTAAAAAAATATTTTGACCCACCTTCTTCTCTGTCTCTTCTGCTTTTCTCTTCTATCGCATGTCTGCTCTTCTTTCTTTGAAGGTGTCTGTATATTTCATGAATACAGTACATGGATACTACTACTAATTTGTGTGGCCAAAGGTCAATTCAACACTAGTCACTCTTTTTGATGCTCTAAATGTCAGTGGGAACTCCTTTAAGCGGACTTATTTGTCCTTTTGACATGACCTATTTATTTTTGAGTACTTTGAGCCAGGTAATATCTTTTAGGCTTACTTTGAACTTTGCTTCTCTTCCAGACCTGGAATTTATTATTCTCTGAAAATCACAAGGTAGACTGTTAAACTGTATGCTTTCGTATAATAAATTGGTTTTTTTAAAAAATCAGGATCACACTAAGCATAATACTCCTTGACTTGTTTTTTTCATTAATGTATTAGAGATCTTTCCATGTCGATATATAGATAGGTTTAATATTCCTATCTATAAGAATGGATAAATCATGGGGTGCCTGAGTGGCTCGTGGGTTAAGCCTCTGCGTTCGGCTCAGGTCATGATCTCAGGGTCCTGGGATCGAGCCCCGCTGCCTGCTGCTTTGCCTACTTGTGATTTCTTTCTCTGTCAAATAAATAAACAAAATCTTAAAAAAAAAAAAAGAATGGATAAATCATGCTCTTATTTACTATCCAGCTATTGATTAAGGGATACGTAGATTTATAATTTTTTTGTTAACAAACTCTATATTAATATTTTATGTGTATGAGAGCAATTTTTATAGGATAGTTACCAGGTTAAAGTATATACACTTATTTTTAAATTTTTATTATTTTTTAAAGATTTTATTTACTTGAGAGAGAGCAGGGGGTGGACGGGCATAGGGAGAGGGGGAAGCAGACACCCCACTGAGAAAGGAGCCCAACGTGGGGCTTGCTCTCAGGACCCTGGGAGCTGAAGGCAGCCCTTAACCAACTCAGCCACCCAGGCGCCCCCCCCCAGACTGTTACCAATTTATTAGTCCTTAAAATATAGAATTATTTAATTTTGCATTTTTCTGATTATTGAGGTATAGCAACTTTCTGAATACTTGTTGGGTATTTATTTTTTCCAGTGAACTACTTGTTCATATCTCATGCTAACTTTTCCTTAACATGTTTTCCTTTTTCTAATTGAGTTGTAGGTGCTCCTTATGTTAGGATCTTGATCTTTGCTTATCAGTCTTTTTGCTTGTCTTTGACATTTATTTGTTTTGGTTTTGGCTAATTTCTTTTTTTTTTTTTCAGATCTAATAATTTTTTCTTTATATCTTACGGGTTTATAAAGTTAAAAAGATTAAGTCAAGTCACACAAATTTTTTTTTTGTTTATTACATGAAGGAGAAAGATGCTCTCCCCCATCTCCCATGTAGACTGATAGATCCAGTTGTTTCTAACAGCATTTACTGAAAAATCCATAATTTGTGGTGCCATATATAAAAATTATTATGGATACCTGTGTTTCTGGACTCTTTTCTATTAACATGTTTTATTATTTCTTTGCCAGTACTTCTTTGTTTTAACTTCTTTAGGCATGATACATTGGTTCTCAGATTCGAGTTTCTGCTGTAGGGGTAGGCAGCTAATACAAAAGTGAAGGGGTGGAGTGAATTACTAATTAGTGAATAGCTCTGCCATTCAGTCTCCGCTTCAGTGTTGCTGAAGCCCACATAAATTGGGGCCCAGTGTTTTGATATATATATATTTTTTTTTAGGAAGCCTGAAATCTGAATCTTCTGATTTAAAAATATTGGCAATTTAATTCATAGTTTTTTATAAAACATTGGGTAGACCATAATACACATTCCTTGACTTCAACCAATATTTTAAAATACGGTTGACCACATGACAGGGCAAATTGCACTTAATTACTCTTTTTCAGAAGTTTTTTGGCAGATTTTTTTGCCTTTATTCTTGACAGATTTTATAGTCAGTCTGCTTGTCAAGTTACTTTAAATTGTTTGGGACTCAACCAAACGTAGATTAATTTGGAGACTGATGGCTTTACCATATTACAATTTTCCATACAAAAACATGGTTTCTTTCTGTTCATTCAGATCCGGTTTTATGTTCATCAGCCCTATCTTTTAATTTTCTTCTAGTGATCTTGTATATTTCTTGTTGAGGTACTTTATTGTTTTTGTTGCTAGAACACATGAGAACTTTTAAAAATCACACTCCTGGGGCACCTGGGTGGCTCAGTGGGTTAAAGCCTCTGCCTTCGGCTCAGGTCATGGTCCCAGGGTCCTGGGATCAAGTCCCGAATCAGGCTCTCTGCTTGACAGGGAGCCTGTTTCCCTCCCTCTCTGTCTCTGCCTGCCTCTCTGCCTACTTGTGACCTCTGTCTGTCAAATAAATAAATAAATAATCTTTAAAAAAATTAAAAAATTAAAATCACACTCCCTATTTGGTTATTACAAGTACTCAGTTAAAATAATGATATTTTTAATCACATAGTGTTATTCTTGGAAAGTTAGTATTTCATTTCTCTGAAGTCTGGAAGCCTTGCTGACTTTGGTAGTTCATGTAATAATATATATCAATATAGGCAGTCTCTTAAATTTTAAGTTATAAGTAAAATTAAGATTTTTAGTTTTTCCCTCTAGAAATGTTCATTTGAATATTCAGCCTAATGAGAATTTTTGACTAAAACCTTATAAGTAAGAAACTATAGTTTTCTAAGTAAGTTATTAGAGATAGGTTTATTTTCAGGTACAGTTCATGTGGTATCTTTTTCAGAAGGAAGCTTTTACTGTCTTTCAGTCCTGATTTAGCTACCCTTCAGCTGCATTACTCTAGGAAGCCCTTTGTGTAGTACTTTATCCTGCTGCTTATTTGACTGTGTTCTCCCAATGACCATCCAAGCTCCTTTCTGAGAGGAGTTCTATCTTAATGTGTTTGTTATTGTCTTTGCTGTTAAACACCAGTGCCTTACCTAATACCTGGCACATAGAAGCATGAAAGCAATGTGCAAATGGACAAAACATTAGTACTGAAAAGTGGGCTGTGTGATACTATTATTTATTTATTTATTTTTGAGGGAGGGAGGGAGAGAGAGAGAGAGAGAGAGAACACTTGGCACAGCATTGGGTGGGGTAGGGCAGGGCAGAGGTGGACAAGCTCCCTGCTAAGCATGGAGCCTCATGGCTCACTCTCACTACCCTGAGATCATGACCTGAGTCAGTTAAGATTAAGAGTCAGTTGCTTGGGGCGCCTGGGTGGCTCAGTGGGTTAAGCCGCTGCCTTCGGCTCAGGTCATGATCTCAGGGTCCTGGGATCGAGTCCCACATCAGGCTTTCTGCTCACTGGGGAGCCTGCTTCCCTCTCTCTCTCTGCCTGCCTCTCCGTCTACTTGTGATCTCTGTCAAATAAATAAATAAAATCTTAAAAAAAAAAAAAAAAGTCAGTTGCTTAACCCACTGAGCCACCCAGGTGCTCCCATACCATTACTATAAAAATAAAACTACAAACCAATTTCCTTTTGAGCATATTTTCTCTGTTAAAGAACTTCTGGGGTGCCTGGGTGGCTCAGTCAGTTAAGCCTCTGACTCTTTATTTTGGCTCAGGTCATTATCTCGGGTGGTAGGATCCAACCCTCAGTGGGGTCCATGTTCAGTGCGGAGTGTGCTCTGGGTTCTCTCTCTCCCTCTCCCAATGCCTCGCCCCGCTTAGTCATTCTCTGACACGAGTGCGCGTGCTCTCTCTCTCTCTTTCCTCCTTTCTCTCTCTCAAATAAATAAATGAGATCTTAAAAAAAAAAAAAAACCTTTTAGTGAGTAACACAAGGTTATGAAGAAAAGGCACGATTTTGTTATAGTTATTGATAAATGGTTTTTATCAGATGGTATTAAATCATGCATTTGTACAACAATATTAATGTTCAAAATGAATAAGAGAAGTTAAAATTATTTACTTTGCTAATGTATTGGTAATTTGTGACCCCAGTAGTATAGTCTCACTAAACTTTTTCATTTTGGGACTCATAACTGATATGAAACTGTAGGAAGTCCAAATTCTACTATCATAAGATTGTCTTTCAAGAAATATCTTATTATTAAAGAGATTTTTTTAGTAACTGGGAGGTTTAGTATATTCAAATTACCTAGATAAGATATATTTTATGCGTTCAAAAAAGTACAGAACTAACAACTTAAATTTTTACCTGTAACATCAGTAAGCTAGAACCTTAAAAAATTTTAAAAGAATTATTGTCTAGTATAAGAAAATTAACCCTATAAAGGGGCAAAGCTAGACTAGTTGTTTGTGGTTATTTAAATGGGCAAGATAAATAATAGCATGTAGTGTTATTTCTTAGAAAACCTCTATGTCTCTCTAATAGTATCAAACAAAACGCAATCACAAAACTATTCAATTTTTCTGTGAAGTATGGCAAGTTGACTTTTTTAGTATTAATTTACAATTTTGTAGTAATTCTGTATCATCTTTAAAAGTATACTTTTTTTTTTGAACAGTGCTACATTTGCATAAACATTATGGTACTGCAGAAAGTCCCCATATACCCTGTAGTTAGTTTCTTCATTATTAACATCTTATATTAGTATGGTAACTTTGTTACAATCGGTGAACACATATCAGTACATTATTGTAACTAAACTTCACACCTTGTTCAGATTTCCTTAGTTTTTCTCTAATTCTGTATCATTTTTACCCCCAAATTTTTTATTTTGTAATTGAATATAGTACATTATTTTAACTGGAAAGTAAAGAAACTTAGTTTAGTATTTTGCCCTTGCTATTTAAGTGTGAGATGTGGCTGCACTTTTATTTCTCAGATGTTTGGGTTTTATTTGTGTGACTCCTTTCTCTTTTAGCTTACGAGGAAATATTTCAGTAAAAGCGGTTAAAAAAGAAGTAGAGAAGAAACTCCGATGTTTACTTGCTGATTTACCACTGCCCCCAGAGCTACCAGGAGGAGATGATCTCTCAAAGAGTCCAGAGGAAAAGAAAACAGCAACACAGTTACATAGTAAAAGGAGGCCTAAGTATGTGCTTGCTTTCTGCCTGCTCTTACATTGGCCAGAAATGATTCTGGGTCATCATAAAATCATAAAACAAAAAATTAAGATTTAAAATAATAAAAAGTGTATTTATTCTTTAAACTTAAGTATATGAATAAATTCTAGAGTTTTAAAAAAAATTCATAATTCCCTGCATCCCTATTCAAAATGACTAATAAAACCAGATTTAATTTTCTCTCACAGTTTGTAATGTATTAATTTCTTGGGTTATTATATGTTAAAGATAATTTCTGTAATTAAGATATTTAAATAATACAAAACACTGAAATTGGAGAAGATGGAAGTCAGCATTCAGTGAGCCCAAACAAAATTAGTAATGGGCAAGCTGCTGTGTTTTCCTTTGCTTTTTAGCTCCATTTGCTCCCCTAACTAAATGTATTTTTCATTCTGCAAGAGGTGGAGTGGAAGAAGGTTTGAAATCTGTATCCTAAATTAGCTTCAAGTAAGTGCCTAGAACCAACTCTTTCCCTTGAAACCTGTTTATCAGTTAAAGGGGGAGAACACTGATTCTTTTTTTTTATTCAACTTAATCAAGGGAAAGTGTGAGTAAGAACTTGAGTTAGATCTGATTTTAGAATTGCCGTTCAGGTGCCTAGCGAGAGTATGATGTGATTTCCTAGTATAGAGTAGAAAACTAGAAAACTTTTAAAATTCTGAGTTTTGTAGCTTTATTCCTTTAGTGAGTTTCTATTACATACCAGAATATTGAGAGACTATAAAATTACCTATTTTTTTTTAAGAATGTCAAATATTTGTCATATATATATGTATATATATATATATGACACATACACAGACACACATACACAGGGTGGATTACTGAGAGTTGATTATAATAATACTTTTATACTTTCTTGGACTAAAAATCCTTCTTGTGTTTTCATTTTTAAGGTAATTTCATCGAGCCATAAGTTTAAATTTGTCAATAAGCTTTATAGTTAGATTTTTTGGTAATATTCATTATCAAACTTGTTTCTTGGAAAATGAGTGATACATATATATATAATGGATGAAAAGAAAAACTTCTGGAGGTTGGTTAGAGAACGTTGACTCTTTGTATTAGTGTTGGTTTTATCCATTCATTGAAAATTGCATTATATTTTTGAAAGTTCTTCATACAAGCTTTACTTCTTTTTCTCAGCTTGTTCGTCTATAGAAGAAGAGCTGGTATGGAGAAATGATGCCTTGACTTTCATGATAACTTATAATAGCAAATTACAGTGTTACTTGTCTTACATGATCACAAATGTTCGAGGGTGGGGGGAAATAAAGGATTTAAGATTGGGGGAGGGTGGGTATTTATTAAACAGTTTATTCAGCTTGCTTGATTGCATATAAAAACTTCAGAACTATATTTGATAGAATATGTGGGCCTCGCTATGGTGAAATCAAAGAAAAAGATATTGACTGGGGAAAGCGCTGCGTGGATAAATTTGATATCATTGGAATTATTGGAGAAGGTACCTATGGACAAGTTTACAAGGCCCGGGATAAAGACACTGGTAAGTATGTCAGCTGCTGTGGATCTCTAGATCTATTGAATGTACTTAATTTATTTTTCTCTTTAAATGTGTAATTTGAAGTTGTTTTTTTTTTAAGTTAAATTTGAATTTATTATGCTTTTGTTTCATCTTTTTTGTTTTATATGTGCGCTTAACATAAGGTATGAATACCTGTAAATGGGTATGTAAATATTTTTAAAGTTTTTTAGTATTTGTGATGTGTAGTATGATAGGATTTTGATTTCTTTAATTGTGAATAAATTCTTATGTTATTAGTAATCAGGGAACAAAAGTATCTTGACCAACTTAGTAGTAAATTTTGTTGTATTAAGTCTTATGTAACACTTTTTATTTTACCCAAAATATTCTTCTTTTGAAGTTACCTTTGTTTGGAGGCTAGATTTAGCAGCCTAATCTTCTAGAACATAATCAGGAACCTGAGAGAAAGTTTTAAGTTTTTGCAGCAGAGTAAAAAAGTAACTATGTTAGAGGCTATGTATTTTAGGAGGTAATGGGTAGAGCCTGTACTTAATCTTTACTTATAATTCCTTGTTAAAATAAACCAGTAGATTAAAATAGCAGAGGTATTTGAAGCCATTTAGTATAAGAAAACTCTGGAGGGCAATTATAGCCTAGAGTAAGAATATTTATAATGATTCTGTATTATCAAAAAGATTAAATTATAACTTCTAGAAGCTGTATATTAAACAAGGAATCGTACATTCTAGACTTCTGTCAAAAAGAATCAAGGAAGTTTTGATAATTAAAAGCATAAATGTTATAAATGTCCTTTTGGAAAATATTTAAGTACAGAATTCCTTTTTTCTCCAAAGAAGTGGAATGATAGTGAATTTTTTCTTATAATGGGATATGTGTTTGTGTGTTCTATTTAGTAGTTAGATCTTACCTGATCAGAACTCATTGATATCTGAATTGTGAAGCCATTTAGTGTAGTGGGAAGAGCAGAAATACTTTTGAGATAGCTGATTCAGATTTTGAATCCCAGTTTCACTGCTAGGCAGCTGGGCAGCCTTGTACAAGTTAATATGTCTGAGCTTATTTTCTCACTTTCACAATGTACAGAACCTTCTCTGTTCAGAGATTTTATGCATGTATAAGCATATTGGGTAAATTTATCCTCCCCTCCTTTACTTTTTAAAATTAATAGTGTAATACATTCACTGTTCATCACATCATCTGCTTTTTTTACTTAATATATCTTGGAGAGCACAAAATAACAGTACTTATGTACCTACCCCATCCTTTTTAACAGTCGTATAGTATTCCACAATTTGGGTAAATATTTTATAATTCTATCTAACCAGAGACTTAATTTCTTGTACTATGAACATTGTAATTTCAAGAGATAGGAACAGGCATTATGAATTAAAATAAAGTTAAAATTAAGAAAAATGTCATTTCGTTTTATCATCTGGTAACTTGATCTTACTTAATTTTTATAGGAGAAATGGTAGCCCTAAAGAAAGTACGTCTAGATAATGAAAAGGAAGGCTTTCCAATTACAGCAATTCGAGAAATTAAAATTCTCCGGCAGCTTACCCACCAGAGTATTATCAATATGAAGGAAATAGTGACTGATAAAGAAGATGCTTTGGATTTTAAGAAGGATAAAGGTATGCATATATATTTATATAACCAGTTCTGCATATGCATGATGTTGCTAACTTGGAGATTTTGTCATAGGTATTGACCAGTTGAGTAATTACTGGGTACATAAAACTATTGCATTAATGTCATACTCTAATTTTAAATGTGGTTGAGCTGAAGAATTAATTTACTTTAGTAGTTTTTGAGTCACCTTAGTAAACAAAAAAGTGTATTTGTTAATAGTAGTAGTTTTTTGAACATCAATGCATAATTTTTAGTCTGCTTTTTTTAGTTGTTGAAAAATAATTTATGATAGTACAGAATATATTTACCTTACATTTTTTAATATCATGCCTTAACATATAAGGAAACTTTATGGTAAACATGTTATTTCTGAAGGTGTGGAGGCCAAAATCTTATCTGAAATTGACTTTAATAAACTATAGTGGCATATGCTTGGTATTTAGTAGAAAAGCTAAAAAGAAATTAGCATGATTATTAAAGTAGTTATTATAAGGGATATGGTGAGTAAAAGGTTCTACTTCTGCTAGGTTTTGGAACTTCAGAGTAAGGTGTCGGAACCAAAGTTGACTCAATTATAATCTGTAGTTTTCAAAGAGAAAGAGTAAAATAGGTACGTTCTGATTGAACACGGTATTTAGCCCCTCCCATCCCCAACTTACACAGATGCATATGTGTGTGCACACACCCACACTTACTCTTCTGGGGAACAGTATCAAAATGATTGTCATAATACATGGTAATTTTGTAGAAAGGAACTTCTTTTGTTAGTATTCTGTATATACCATGAAGATAATTAGAATCATCTTTTTAATTGGGGTCCTTTCCATTAGTTTTTGTCCGTGATAATACCCATATTCCTTAGCTTGATTTTTAATCCAGTTTGTACTTCTCACCTTATTTTTTTTATTCCTTTATGTAGTAGAAAGGTGTGACTTGTGCTGCAATGTCTGGAATTCATGACTTTGCTTATGAGCAGTGCAACCTTATTAGCAAGTTCTTAGCTCTTCTGAGCCTCTGACCTCTTCATCTATTAAAGGGAAACATTATTTCTCTTAACTGTGTATTATAATATAATATAATATATCATATTATATTATATATGTATTATATAATATAATTATAATATAAATTAAGATCTTATACATGAGGGTTGTGTGTAATGTTGTTTTTCATTAACCTCCTCATGTAGTCAAATTAATATATTTGTTCTTCCTCCAGTATACCCTGGACCTCCTGCTTCTTTGATCTTTAGGATCATGCCCCTGTCTATTTCTTTACCCTCATCTCTGCCGTTTTTCTGGTTTTCCACCAAGCTTCAGTCATATGGGTGTTCTGAGTTGTCAGATATGCCAATGCGCTTCTCTGTCTTAGAAGTCTTTACATGTGCAGCTTTCTGGGCTTACACTTCACCCCCAACACTCATGCGTATACACGCACGCATGCATGCACACACACGTGTGCATACCCCATTTGGAAGGCTGACTTCTCATCCTCTGGGTCTCAGACTGAATGTTACTTTATCAGTGAGGCCTAACTGGACCACTTTCTATTTTATGTAGACACGTGCAACTTAAAAGGCTTATTTTTTTCTTCATAACTTTTCCAAATAACTGATTTGTTACTTGTTTTCTCCCCATGAGGATGGGAATCATACCTGTTTTATTCATTATTAGAACCCTTACTGGTTAGCTCACTGGTTAAGCTATGGAAGAAGATACTATGAATAACTGATTGCTGGATGTGTAAGTCAGCTCTAGTTATTATATCCTGTCCATACTTTAAATGACTTTTTAAAAGATGTTATCTTTGAACATAAAAGTATTCATAGTTTTCCTTGTATTATATTTATGGCTGTAAGTTATTTTCCTTACTATATTATAAATTCCCTTGAGTACTTTGTTTTTTGTTTTGTTTTGTCTCCCCCACAACAAATCATAGAATTTCATATATTTGCTTCCTCATCTTTTCCCCCCACCATAATCCTGTTCATAATTATTGGAATCATGATAAATAAGAAAAAGTGTTTTACTACACGAGAAGTTACATTCAGATGCCAAGTATTAGTTAAATATAATACAGTATGTCAGGGATATAATCATGGGATATAATTTATGTCAGCATAAAATTCTCTTTCAAAATTATTGAGATATAATTGACATATTAGTTTTAACTAATATAAGGATTATATTAACATATATATATTTAACATAAGGATTTAATATTACATATATTGTGAAATGAGCACTGCAATAAATCCAGTTAACGTTCTGGATTTTTGTGTGTGTGTACACATAGAACATTTTTTGTGTGTGTGTGATGAGAACTTCTAAGATCTTTCTTAGTAACTTCCAGCTATCAATACAGTATTTTTAACTATAGTAACCATACTGTGTATTAAGTCATCCTCATGACTTATTTATTTTATTATTGGAAATTTATACCTTTTGACCCCTTTCGCCCATTTTGCTATCTCCTATTTCCTGCCTCTGGTAGCCACCAGTCTGTTCTCTGTATCTATCTATATATATATATATTTTTTTTTTAATTCTTGTTTTTTGTTTTGGGTTTTGCATATAAGTGAGATCATATGATATTTGTCTTTCTCTATTTGACTTCTTAGTACAGTGCCCTCAGGGTCCATTCATGCTGTTGCAAATGTCAAGAGTTCCTTCTATTTTATGACTGAATATTCCATTGTATATTTAAAATACATTTTCTTTACTCATTCATCTTTTGACAGACATTTAGGTTGCTTCCATGTCTTGGCTATTTTGAGTAATGCTGCAGTGAACGTGGTGGGTGCATATATCTTTTTGAGTTAGAGTTTTCTTTTGGATAAATAACCAGAAGTGGAATTGTTGGATCATATAGTACTTCTATTTTTAATTTTTTGAGGAACCTCTATACTGTTTTCCATAATGGCTATACCAGTTTACATTCCTACCAACAGTGCCCGAGGGTACCCTGTTCTCTGCATCCTCACCAACAATTGTTATTTCTTGACTTTTTGATAACAGATATTCTAATAAGTATGAGATAACACAATCCTTTTTTGATGAATCTTAATTTTTATGGGAACCATGATGAGACAGCCTGATTTGGTGAAAAGGGAACTAGATTTGAAGTCCTTGGGTTCTAATCTAGCTCTGTGCCATTATACTAATTGTGATTGCTACCCTGGAGCAGGACAGTATGGGAACTTTAATAGTTCATATTAAAATTCATAAGACTAAAAAAAAGTAAAACCAAATACTTAAACTAATTTAAATATGAAAATTTTAAACAACACACATACCAAGTAAATTTGCTAATATAAAAATATAAATATTTGCATTATTATAACACAAGTATTTGACTAAATAAGAATAACACCATAAAGAGTTTTTTAAAAACTTGGCTCTACTTAGATGAAAAAAAATTGAGAAGTTGAAAATAAAATACTATTTTGTTTTAAATTTTTTTTTTTAAATTTATTTATTTGACAGATGGAGATCACAGGTAGGCAGAGAGACAGGCAGAGAGAGGAGGAAGCAGGCTCCCCGCTAAGCAGAAAGCCCGATGTGGGGCTTGATCCCAGGACCCTGGGATCATGACCTGAGCCGAAGGCAGAGGCTTTAACCCACTGAGCCATCCAGGCGCCCCAATACTATTTTGTTTTAAAAAGGAAATCATCCTTAAGAAAGCAGGGTTAAATAGTATCAGTAATTCAGAGGTGGATTTTTGTGCAAGATCTTAGAGATGCTGAATGAGCTTTTTCTGAAATCATCTGGGGGAATGGAGGAAGGTAAACTAATTTTTATTTTTTTCCCAATATTCTTTATTTTAAGACTGTCCCATCTTTTTAATAACTGAGGAGATCTTTATATCTTTTTGTCTGTTTTTCAATCTTTTTATTGTTTGCAAGGGAGAGCTTTTGTTTCAAAGGAAACATTTCTTATACCTGTAGATTTTTAGTTGATCTTCAAATATCAAGAGAGTGAGATGCAATTATGGTATTAATTTTAGTACTCTAGTGTTCATATTTCACTGTTTATCAAATATTTGAACTAGGGTGTAAACTATTTGGTAGTGGAAGCTTTGCTTTTTTTTATTTTCTTGCTCCCACTGAGGATTATGAATTTATAGAAAGATACTTTCTGAATGAATGTAATTATACTCAATTTAAAAAATTAAAGCAATTTGGGACACGTGAGTGGCTCAGTGGGTTGAGCGTCCACTTGATTTCTGCTCAGGTCATGGTCTCAGGATTGTGAGATCAAGCCCCATGTCAGGCTCCATGCTCAGTCGGGAGTCTGCATGAGATTCTTTCCCTCTGCTCCTTCCCCGGCTCAGGCTCACATGCTTGCTCTCTCAAATAAATAAATAAATCTTAAAAAAAATTTAAAGCAGTTTATAATTCTCTGGTTAGAGAAGACTTTTTGTTTTGCAGCTATATGCAGTATAAAATAAATCTGTAGTCATTGATCTCCATCTCAAGATGTGAATATTTAGTGTTCAGTTTAAAAAAAAACCCAAATAAATACTGGTATCATTTCAACAAAATAGTATTTGGGTACTTAAAATTAACATGATATCCTGGATAACCAAAAACCAGTGTCAATAATTGCTATGTTCAAATTAACTTAAGCTGTGATGCTTTCAATATTAGTATTTGAAGAGGGAATTCTGATTTGGAATTTTCCTAAAAATCAGGAAAAAAATTTTCTACAGTAAATGTGTGTGGCAAAATGTCACTGTATGGTTGAGGGAAAAAGTCTCAATGTCACTCTTTCATAATCTGTGATTCCCACATGGTATTCCCCTGCCTTTATCGCATGTTATAGACAGTTCTGTTAGACAGTGGAGCCCGATATCCTTCCATTTTAATGTCTTTGTACATAAAACTCTTATTCCATCTGATTATTCCCTAAGTAAATTAATATAAGTAGGATTACTAGGATTTGAACTTTGAAATTTCTTGACACATATCACCAAGTTGTTTTACAGAAAGGTTGTGCCAATT